GCCACTTCCTGTTTCCAAGCACCCCAGCGATGGCTGCATGCATTGTTGGGTTTCCATTTGTCCCCCTGATGCCGCGCGGGCCACCTGGGTCGCTATGGCATCGCAGGCTGTTGGTTGTCACTGGCGGCTGTGAGGTGGAACCCGCCGCTGTTTAGATCACCGACAACCTCTCAGCACACCGGGGTGCGTTCCTCCTCACAGCTGCTGCTGAGTCAGTGATAGCCAACAGCTGCGGAGGCCCGGCGCCGGCAGCAGAGGAGGCGGGTAGGCCTGGCGTTTGCAGCAGAGGAGGAGGCTAGGCCCGGCGTCGGCAGCAGAGGAGGAGGCTAGGCCCGGCGTTGGCTGCAGAGGAGGAGGTGCCCGCAGGCGACCATGAAGGAGAAGGCGGCTGACAGGTAAGAGGTGTGACCAGCCCACCATAGAGAGTCTATGGTGGGCTCCCCAGGGACACTCTCAGGTGGGCTGTTTGGGATCTCAGGTGGGCTCTGCAAGGGGTGTAACTAGAAATCACAGGGCCCCATACAAAATTTAGCTATGTGGCCCTTTGATTTCTAGTTACGCCCCTGCTTTCTACCCTGCATTGACATTGGAGAAATTTTCCATCACTTCCTGCCCCTCTGACCCCTCCGTGGCACCATGACAGGAAATGAGAGGAAATCTCCCCAATGGGAAGACAGCCTGCACTGGCACAAAGGTTCTAAACCGCCTCTACAACATGAAATGCTTTGCTCGGAATCGGGCCTCGAGCTCTTTTTTTAAAGGCTAATTTCGGCAGGTGCAAGCTCCAGTAAACAGAGATTATTATTCCTGCCAGCTGTCATAAAGTGCTCCAACCCCATCTATTTGTGTGGGGGTTGTGTAGTTACTGTGACTGGACAGGATATTTTAATTTTCTCCTTGCCTGTTTCTTCTCGTCTTGCAAAAGGATTACTATACTGAGAAGATGAAAAGAGATCATCGTTATAAATGAGTGACAGGGCCGGTATGGCTCGGGACAGACACTCTGGTGACATTGGAGTCCCGTGTGTTACAAGGTCAGAGAACTGATCTGTAGATAAAAAAAGGTTTACAACTCGTCTATAAGGCGGACTATTGAGGACTTATAGCCCCCCCTCCTTATCACCCGGGTCAACCTTGGACATCACCATTAGCCCCTCTTCCCCCCATTCCCTAATCACCCATGCCCCCCCTTATCACCCAGGTCAACCGTGGACATCACCAATACCCCCCTTATCACCCATGTCCATATGTATTATTGGGGATGATAAAATACTGTATACTGAAGCAAATGTCCTTAAATATATTAATATAGTGCACTTTTCTTGATCAATCTCAGAACCTCAACGGATAAATGAAGACCATCTTCATTATCAAAGCCAATTTCTGAACCTCAATGGGTGAATTAAGTCCATCATCAAAGCCAATTTTTGAGCTTCGATGGGTGAATGAAGACCATTATCATCATCAAAGCCAGTTGATGAACCTCAGTGAGTAAATGTGACCATATCTTTATTATCAAAGCCAATTGATGAACCTCAACAGCCACCATCAAAGCCAAACACAGAACCTCAATATGGACCATATCGTCATCATCAAAGTTAATTGCTGAACTTCATTGGGTGACTGTAGACCATATTTTTATCAACAAAGCCAATCACGGAACCTCAAATTGTAAATGTAGACCATATCCTTATCATCAAAGCCAATTGCTGAACTTCAGTGGGTGAATATATACCATATCTACATCAAAGCCAATCACTGAACCTCAACAGGTAAATATAGACCATATCTTCATCATCAAAGCTAATCGCTGAACCTCAGTGGGTAACTATAGACCAGCATTTCTCAACAAATTTATTTTAAGTCATGGCACCCTTTGAAAGTATGGAAAATCTCAAAGCACCCCAGTCTGAAATATCAAAGATTTTAAAGGGGGACTCCATGCAAACACACATGAAAAACCCACCTTCACATCAGTCACCCTTTGCATAGACTTCATTACCCCCTTCAATCACAGTCCAGCTACCACAAAATTCTGATGCACCCTTGAGAAGGTCAGTAGACACACCACTGTGCCATGGCACAGTGCTTGAAAAAAGCAGTTATAGATCAGATCTTCATTATCAAAGCCAATCAGTGAACCTCAATGGGTGAATTAGAACATATCTTTATCATCAAAGTGAATTGACGAACCTCTAAAGCCGCCATCAAAGCCAAACACAGAACCTCAATGGGTAAATGTATTGTAGACCATATCTTATTCATCAAAGCCAATCACTGAACCTCAATGGGTGAATGTAGACCATATTTTCATCATCAAAACCAACTGCTGAACCTCAGTGGGTGAATTAGAACAGATCTTCATCATCAAAGTCAATTGACGAAACTCAACAGCCGCCATCAAAGCCAAACACAGAACCTCAATGGGTACATTGAGATCATATCTTCATTATCAAAGCCAATCAGAGAACCTCAACAGGACGATGTAGACCATATCTTATTCATCAAAGTAATCGCTGAACCTCAATGCGTGACTGTTGACCATATTTTCATCATCAAAGCCAATTGTTGAACCTCAACGGGTGAGAGAAAGTGGTCATAGGAACAGGTGTCCCCATTGAAGGATCTCTTGCTCTCATCACAACTCACAATTTATGGACTTCCGCTCCTTCTTCCGTCTGAGTGACCATGGTCACCATGACATCAATTAAAACCTGACAGTGTAACCCTTCCATACTCTATCCTTACCCCAAAAAATGCCTTTACATACACTAACTCTAAGCACTTCTGAGTCCAGAGCTATCCTAGCAAAAGTGAACCTCCAGTAACCAGTAGAGCAGGGACTTGGAATTGCTTGAGGTCAGAGAAGCCATCAGAGGTCATCTCCCCCCGATGACTTCAAAAAGAGTACCTGTCGCTTTTACAGTGACTCTGTTGGCCAGAACTAAAAAGGTAAAAGATTTGGAGTTGCTTATTGCACGCAGATGATTGCAAAATGAAATTCCCACCCACAGCAGGCTTGGAAGAAACAATTTAGGACTATCGTTTAGGTTTATAGCTAAAAGCGATGAGTAATAATGTTTTTTTAATGCACTGCCTTACTTACGATTCACTTACAATAGTTCTTCGCTGTTCCACAAGGGCACATGATACTGAAGCTAGATTTATTTGGTACTTATTAACTCCATGCAGTCTTATCTTTTATATATAATGGAATCATAATGTGTTTGTGAGCAGTAACAAAACAAGAAGCTGAAAACAAAGTTCTCATAAACATTCCAAGGTACAACATGTACAAGGTTTCCATCTGTTTAAAGATTGTATGCAGTTTTTATCTTTAGGACCACCCAACTACAAAAGATTTACTTTCCTTCTTTAACATGATCTATGTGGCCAAAAGAATGTGAAGACCTGACCATCACACCAACATGACCAAAAGAAGACACCTTGAGGTTCTGGTGTATCTAGTGAGGGGTATTGGTTGTGCTACATCATACAAAGACAGTGTAGACAATTCAACCTTAGACTTGTGGTAATCTGGTGAAGGCCCTTTTCTGTTCCACCATGACTTCCATCCCCTGTGCACAAAGCCAGCTCCATAAAGACATGGTTTAGTGTGGAGGTTCTCAAGTCAAAACCATGACCTCAACCCTACTGAACACCACTAAGATAAGGGCTGCAACAACTAATCGATTATAATCGATAATGAGAATAGTTGGCAACGATTCTCATAATCGATTAGTTCATGTTCGATTAGTTGCCGCCGCTCTGCTCGTCCGGTCTCCCCGCTGGTGCTGGCTGCAGTGGTCTGTGTTCCTTTCAATCCCCGCTGCTCTCCCCACCTGTTTCGGCAGAGGCAGTGGGGACAGAGGCCACTGCAGCCGACACATGTGGGGAGAAGAGACTGCAGTGGTTCTTCAATCCCCTGCTGACCCCATCCCCCCGTCGCCCCTTACCTCCGCTGCTGCTCTGTTCCTCCTCTGCCCGCCCCGTTCTTGGCTCCTCTGCCCGCCCCGTTCTTGGCTCCTCTGGCCGCCCCGCTCTTCCTCCTCTCCCTGCCCCGTTCTTCCTCCGCTGCCCGCCCCGTTCTTCCCCGTTCTTCCTCCGCTGCCTGCTATTGGATATTTTAGATTGCAGTAGCCAATAGCAGGCTGGTTATTTCACCCCACTGCCTTCTGACAATCAGCAGACCACCTCTGGGGTGGGTGCAATAGCTAGCCTGCTATTGGCTACTGCAATCCAAAATATCCAATAGCAGGCTGGCTGTTGTTTCCAGCCACTGATGGGAGACTTGACCAATAACAGGCTGGCTGTTGCTCCCAGCCACTGCCTGCTGTGTTGACATTCAGCTGCCTCATCCAGTGAAGTGGAAAGGTGAGACTAGGGGTCTAAAACCCCTAATGTCACCTTAAATGGAACCTGTCACCTCCAACATGCCATCACATAGGGGACTTGTGAGCCCCCCCCCCATGTGATGGCAATGAGGTAAAAAAAAATGTACACAAGAATTAAAAATCCCCCTTCCCCCCCAAAAAAATTGAAAGTCCCCAAACCCTGTAAACGCGCGTATACTAACAGAAACACAAGTCAGGTGCACCTACATAGAAAAACAATAATTGCGCTACACGTCAGGTATCACCGCGTATTTTATTTTAAAATGAAGGATTTATTTTTTTTATCCGATTAATCGGAAAAAATTAATCGGCTAATTGATTATGAAAATAATCGTTAGCTGCCGCCCTATTTTGGATGAATCGGAATGCTGACTAAGAGCCGGATCTTCTCATCCAACATTTGTAATATCAGGTTAGCTCTATATTAATTCCCATGGTTTTCGAATGGGATGTCCAACAAGCTCACACAAGTGTGATGGTCAGTCCCCTGCACATTTTTGGATAACTATATGAAAGGGTGCTACACCCTACACCAGAAATCTTCGCCAACAAGAGCCAAGCAAGGAAAGATTTGGTTATAAATTGCCAATAGGTGTTGAATCTTACCTTGAGCTTGTCAAACCGGTCACTCAGAGAGGCCACCTGATGTTCCCTGTGCCTACCAACCAATTTGCATAAGGCACAAATAAGCTGATCATCCACTGCGCAGTACATGTTCACCTTCTCGTTTTCATGTTCTAGACAAACCAGCCCACGAAAATGAGCATCCGGAATGGGTGCCACCAGACGATGACTAGTAAAAGGTTTCTTGTTTGGGTGGGTTGCACGCAGGCAACGGTCACAGTAGGACACCTCGCAGGTTATACACGTCTTCACGGCATCCCTAGGGGGTTCCACCTCACAGAACTGGCATGGAATCCTTTCGGTGGCCATGATGGGAACGCTTTTGTAGATCTTGTCTCTGTGGTCTTCGCAGGGGGAGCTCGGCACGCTGAGGGAGGCCTTGTGAAAGCGGTCGATGATGTTCTGTAGTGTGACGTTGCGCTTCAACCCTTCCAAGCCACGGTGGTTAAGCGATATGACATATCGGCAGGTTGGGCACTGGAAGGCGGTGACGGGTTCTACCAAGTCCCCCGAGGAATTTCCAGAAACCAGTATGCGGTGGGCACAGCTAAAGCACAAGCTATGGGCGCAAGGAAGTAGAAGCGGGTCCTCAAACAATTCCAGGCAAATTGGACAGGTTAATTCTGACTCCAATGTTTCCATGTTTGGCTAAACCATTCAGATTTAGGATAGCTTGGTTTCTTCTGTTCACCTAGAACAAAAAACACACATACGTATTAGACTTGTGGTATGAAGACACAACGGGCTCCACTCACACTAGACATGGGGATCATCAGGTTCAAAAAGTTGGTCAAAAAGGTCCAACAAACTTCAATAAGGTTTTGAAGATTAATATTGGCAACCGGTTGATCCGGTGAGAAATCCAGCGAGCTTCCAACTTCCTGTACTGAAATCTCAAGTATTATTATTAGCCCTGCCCAGCTCTCTATGTGGAGACCAAAAATAGGCCAGTGACTACCATTTTGAGTCCCCTCAATATACAATATCTAAGCCCTGAGGAAGGAGGAGATCCCTCAGCCCATGAAATGCGTTAGCCATTTTATATTGACTTGTTGAACAAAATCTTTTGGACTCCCAGTACATTGGTTTGGCACTTTCATTGGACTTAGTACACAAGGTTTTCAATCCCAAGGTGTCAGTAAGTACATTTTCCAACACCATCAAAAGACACTCGGTAACTGGAGGAAACCCTAACAGGTCCGACAGACCTAAAGCCACAACAGAAGCAATTCTGAGCCCCGGGACTAAAAACTTCCCTCACTTCCTGTCCAAAAGCACTTCCTGTCCAAAAGCACTTCCTGTCCTGCTTTCATTGGACTTAGTACACAAGGTTTTCAAACCCAAAGTGTCAGTAAGTACGGTTTCCAACACCACCAAAAGACACTCTGTAACTGGAGGAAACTCTAACAGGTCAGACAGACGTAAAGCCACAACAGAAGCAATTCTGAGCCCCGGGACTAAAAACTTCCCTCACTTCCTGTCCTGCTTTTATTGAACTTAGTACATGAGCTTTTCAAACCCAAGGTGTCAGTAAGTACAGTTTCCAACACCACCAAAAGACACTCGGTAACTGGAGGAAACTCTAACGGGTCAGACAGGCCTAAAGCCACAACAGAAGCAATTCTGAGCCCCAGGATTAAAAACTTTCCTCACTTTTTGTCCCAAAAACTATGGTAACCTAGAAAGGAAATTAGGAAAACTTTTCTTCATTTGGAACACATGTAAAACTTTTTTTGGGGTATCGTGGGGAAGGAACTGAATCTCTGTTGTGTCTCTGTTGCTGTAAATTCCTTAATTTCCTGTCCGAGAAGGAAACAGCAATAAAAACGTGATGGATCTCAGATTGAGGCACCACACGACGAGTAAATTGTGCAAAATCGCGAGACATCCTAGTCTAAAAACCGTAAATGTTGTCCCTCCAAAATCCATACCAGACCCTTATCCTAGAAACGGGGTCTGGTATGTATTTTAAGTAGGGACTCTATGCAAAGACAAAGAAAAAATTGTGGTTTCCCCTTCACATCTCCCCTCTTCATATTAGGAGCCTCCTTCACATCAGAGCCCCCCTTCATATTAGGAGCCTCCTTCACATCAGTCCCCCCTTCATATTAAGAGCCCCATTCACATCAGAGCCCCCATCATATTAGGAGCCTCCTTCACATCAGAGCCCCCCTTCATATTAGGAGCCTCCTTCACATCAGAGCCCCCTTTATATTAGGAGCCTCCTTCACATCAGTCCCCCCTTCATATTAGGAGCCTCCTTCACATCAGCGCCCCCCCTCCCAT